GCCATATTAATGTGGAAGGAAAAATAGATATAGATGGTACATGGGTAGAGGGTGCTTCGGTTACAACATATTTAGGTGTAACCATCGACCAATCCCTGACATGGAAATCTCATATTGAGAAAATAAGTAAAATAATCAGTTCAAAAGTGGGTTAATATCACGTAATTATCACGTATTCGACGTATCACGTATTCGACATTATGTTCCAAAATTTATCCTTTTCTTATACAATAGTTTAATAATTCTCCCGCACCTAACTTATTGTATTGAAATTTAGGGCATACTTACCCCACTTTACTTGAACCAATTCTGCGTTTACAAACAAAGCTTGTACGACTTATCACCTTCTCCGATTTATATACGCACTCTGCACCTCTCTTTCGACAGCTTGGCACCCTTGACATTAACAAACTCTGCAAACTTCACACTTGTTTGTTCATATTTGACCTTAAGAATAATCGCTTTGCCCATAATATCAGTCATTATATTGATCAGCATTTCCATCGTTACCCAGCAATAGCCTTTTCCAGCAAAATCTTGCTCTTATCACAGTGAGCATCCTGTCGTCCAAATGATGCATACCACTTACTGCTATTTTGTTTTAACTTGGATATTTAATTTACTCATGTATTTTTCAGATTAAGTACTAACTCATTTATGTCACCATACCACTTTCTTTTCATACTAGTTATTTATTTTAAGTGATACGGCCATGAACTAGACTAGTTCTGCAGAACTATTTTCATGGTCCACACCAGAATTATTCAAATTGTGTACATATTACCTTGTATATTAATTTTCCCCTTTATATATCTCAATTATTGTATACATAATTTTTCTGGTGAAATAAATAAATAAATAAATAAATCAAACCAACAAGGCAAAAGATAAACGTATTGTTTCTTTGCAAGAAATAAGCAGTGAACTATGACAGGATTATTTCACTGGGTATAATGATTGAATAATTCTATGTCATCGCGTTCAAACCATGTTTAAGAAGGTGTTTGGTATAAATGAACACTGTTATTATTGGCATCCACTGTTCTCAGGTTCGTTAACAATGGTTGTTGGTATGGTGGGTAGTGGAAAGTCGTCACTTTTGTATGCGATTTTGGGCGAGATGACAACTGTATCTGGGACTGTGAAGTTTAACAGGTAATCGCACGACTTGATGACATAATAATAATTGTATCCGTAATTATCAACCCATGAAATATTAATAAATGTCAAGTTATTATATTTTCTATATAAAGTTTAATGTTTTCCATTATGTATGTGTTAGATGGGTCGTATTTTGTTATCATATCGATGAAAGAAATGTATTCAATCTGTTTTAAGAGTAACTGTGTTTCTCCGGCTTCAAGGTCAATAATTTATATCTACGAAAATCGCTATGTGATCTACATTCTCTGCAATATCTAGATAGACAGATGTAGAAAGTTATAATTAACACACATGTAATCTACTCAATATGACATATTGCAGA